GTTAAAACAGCTATTTTTGGAGTTTCTACCCCCTGGAGGCTAAACCGTTGACCTGAGGTCATTTTTGATGATGACCTTTTCAAATGAAGATTTCAAAAGCTATCGATTGCTTTTCAAATCGTTTTTCTAGCTATCATAGTTCCTGAGATAATGGCATGTTTTCTGAAAAATATAATGACTATTCGCAAATTTTGACCTTTGATGACCTCTAGTGACCCCAATATTGCTCTAAGATGAAAAATGACTAAAATACTTTCAAACTTACGCATCGATAGCTATCGACTGCTTTTACTGCGTCTTTCTAGCCCTCTTAAATTTTTAGTTCGAGGTGGGTGGTAACACTATATGCCCCCCCCCCTCAATGTACTGCCCCCGTCTTAGCATGCCTGAATCCGCCTATGCTTAACGAAAACGTGTATTTTGTGCTCACGTTGCATATTTTACATGATATATGACATCATGCCATAAGACACATGACATACCATGACAAAAACTCAAAACATCATTCCTAGTTAGGTTACCTGAATCCGCCTATGATTTTTGAAATATCCAAAATGCCGTAATATTATGATAGACCAGTTCATGAAGAAGGGTCCCCTGAAGTTCTATCAATCGATGAGAGCGATCGAATTCTTATCTCAACTGGCGCATCCTTTGATCCTGGGTTCCCTGGCCTTGACTATCCTTAGGGCTGTCAGGCTTGGTGAACCCTACCAGGTGAGAAAACCAGGTGAGAATGGCGTTTTTCCCATTAAGATAGGATATTAAGTTTTCGGGATATCAAGGGGCCGAATCGCCCCCCCCCCCCCCCACCAGTTAACGTAGTCCAGAAAGAAAGCCCACCAGTAATAGGGTTAAAACGTCGCGGTTAGCTCTCCGTCGTGGGAACTTGTCTCATACGCCTTGCGTATCACTTTACAAAGAGTTCAGCCGCTTGAATGTAGGTATTTTAGCATAACTCGGCCTTTTCACCACCTGCCTACATCGCAGACATGTCACCGTGTGCTTACCACGCGCAGCACTGGTCACTTTCACTGGCACGACCGAGGCTCAAACCTCTCGGTCGTGCTCAGACTTACTGACGTGGCGTATCCTTCCACCCGGCCCCGACTGGCAGGGCATATTTTAACATACTGACTGCGTCCCATTTTGGGACGCAGCCCCCTGCCTTTGGGACGTAGCCCTCGCGAAATTTGGACCACTGCGTCCCACACTGAAATGCCACGGTTTCAGAGGAAAGTGCGAGCAAAACTAAGTAACATGCCTCGGTCTTTTACTTTATAACAGATGTTGCCTTTCCGATTGCGTTGTGCCCTGATTTACTTTGTACCTAAGAACATATACATATGTCCTCTCCAGTCCTTGTGCCCTGCCCTACCCTAGGTCGTACACCTTATTATGTTCTTCCCTACTATACCCCTGGAATGTGTGCCCTGCCCAGTGCCCTGTCCTTAGGTCTTGTTCCTTGCCCTACCCTTCCTCCAGGCCCTGCGCCTTGCTCTGCATTCAGGCTCTGTGCCCCGCCCTGCCCTGCCCTCAAACCCGATACCTTATAATTATATACTCTGCCTCGAAATTTTATGCGCTGCCTTCCCGTCTTCAGGCCCCGTGCCCTGCCCTACCCTAGTTTGAGCCCCCGTGCCATTCTCTGCCTGGTGGGTGGGTACTGTTTGACCTTAAGTCATCTTATAATTTCAAACACATAGTATCTTCAATGCGAATTGGCAATATTTCACACGTCAAGCTCTATTTTGAATCGATTGGTAGGGTTGCAAAACGCGTGAAGAGACGTATGTATCACATTTTAATCATGCGCATATTTATTTTTATTCATTAAAAAATAGGTACAACTTGGTGCGTCAAGGGAGGTCGAACACTCCCAACGCCGTTCAGGAAAACGAGTGACTAACAGCAATATAAATGTCATTAAATCGCCGGTCCGTCCTTTGAATGTGGATAAAGAACGCGCCACGACTGGGCGAATTTCGAGACTGGCCAAAAGCAATCACAGCCCGCTCCCAATATCCCGCTTGCTGCCCCTCCACCAGCACAGTAGGGTAGGGTGGGCAAAGCGCCCACCCTAACTTTTCAGCCTCAGTATCTCCTTATCTTACAAATTTGAAGAACAACCAGGTAGCTGATCAGCTCATTACAAGTATGGAAAACATAGCCCGGTGAAGGACTGCTCCGGTTGTTTTTCAGTAGAAAAACACAATCCTAACGAATAGTGTTTGTCTATTTCAAACAACTTGCGGTTACCTTAGCTTTCTTCAAATAACACATCAGAAACGTGTGGCATGCACAGTATTTGAGATATGCCGTCCGATTTGAGAGGACTACAGATCGGGCGTTTTGCCCCACCCGTGGGGCATAACGCCCATATGAGTGGGCATAACGCCCAGTCCTGAATGTTTCATCACAATTTTGATGCTCTGACAAAATAATGTAGTAGGTATTCATCCATTCCTCATTTCATTAGACCTCAACTCGACATATTGCATTATTAAAAACACCTTAACCCGGCAGGCGGTGGGCCTCCCGGCCACCTTCCGCGCGGTGGGGGGCATTTTTTTTGCCCCCCCCCCCCGTATCTCCGAAACTACTGGACGGATCCGGAAAATTCAAACGGCGTTCGATATCTCTGTCAAATTTGTTGATTTGTTGAGGGAACCAAATTTCATTGACCTCGGGGTCACCGATGACGTCACAGGTCAGGTCAAAGATAAAATGTTTTACCGTTCACAGGGCTTCAAAGCGCTATAACACCGAGTAAAACGCATTTTGTCGAAAATCAACGATAGGGCGTCAGTTGTCTAGTACATATGTTGCTATTAGAGGTCACTGGTCATACCACGTCAGGTCACAGGTCAGGTCACCAAAGGTCTCCAAAGGTCACCACATGAACCCAACTTTACTAAGGTTGTGCGATGCATGTTTTATGGCCAGTTTTTCATTTCCAACTCAATGGTGTTGTTTATAAGACCATCACGTACAGTTAAGGTCACTTTCTGGTGGAGGTCAGACTCAGGTCAAGGTCAGGTGAAAAAAGGTCAAATTTCAAAGTTGATATTTTTGCATAAAATGGGTATTGATTCGATTCAGCTCGTGACGGAGAGTCTAATGGTGGTCTTTGTTTTGCGCTAAGAGGTCTAGAATTGTTAGAAATTGAGTTTGAAAATTCGACGTCATCAATTTTGAACAGTTTTTTCGCTATAACTTGGCCAAAAAAAGAGATATCGATCTCAAATTTGGTATGTAGATAGAAGGCGGTAGGGACTATAACATATCGTCCGTTTTTTCGAAATTCAAAAAACTGTTTGGATTTTTCGCCTATTGTATTCAAAAATCTATTTTTTATTTTTGGGGGCCAAAATCCAAAAATTCTAAAAATCCGAGATAGCAGTTTTGTAGCCCTTTAAATTTTACACTTTTTATAATTGAAACATTTTTCTGTATCTCTAAAGCTGTAGGCCTGACAGCTCTTCTCGCGAAACCTTTTTTTGGGTCGAAAATGGCAGAAATGACGGCACTCTGACGTCATTTGCGGCCAACCTATCATAGCCTTTGGAAAAACGTTTGGTCACAATGTGCAATAGCTATTCACGGGAGGGTACTGAAAGGTTGGTGACGATCGGCGCAGCGGTTCTCGAGATATATCGAAAAAACTAAAGGGGGGGGGGGGCAAAAAAATGCTCCCCCCACCGCCTGCAAGGTTAAACACTGCTGTCGCCACCCCAGTCCTTATTCAGGCAACGCCTGTCACTGCGCTGGTGAGCAAAGATATGTCGCGAATAAATCGTTCGAGACGATACCAACCAGAAAATTGCATATTTTATCAGAATCCTGAGCAATAGAAACATATCCCGCCACTCACTTTGAGCCCAAAATGCTCGCAATAACCCGTGCTGTATAACTCCCATTGGCCCATGATGGGCGCTTTGCCCCACACCAAAGTGTTCGTATTACCCCAACAACACATTCAAACAAAATTTGCCAAAATTAAGCCTGTCACAATTGTGTTGCAAGCAAATAAATGCTCAAAGCATAGCTTAAATCTGCATATTCAACATAACAAAATTTTCTTGCCTTCTTCAATATCTATCAGACAAAGTTTTGGCACTAAGAAAGCTTTTAATTTCTAGAAAACATCAGCAATATATCAATCTGTATTTTATGTCCAGAAAGCTCCACTTGTGGAACCAAAAAAGGAAGCACAAGCAGATTCCTGCGTGTTCTTGAGAATGGCTATCAAGGATTCTTTAAAAAGTCGAGCATTTCACAAATAAGAGGGGTGGGCGTTTTACTCGCCCTGGGCGCTTTGCCCCGCTCTACCCTACACAAAGACACATGTATCTGTACATTATCTCACTTGCATTATATACTATTTCGCTTGCAAAGTGCCCTTTCCAATCGAAGCATGTGCCCTATGCCACCTTTGGGACGCAGTGAAAAATCCTTAAAATATGCCCTGCCGACTGGTGTTCACTCGATGGGGCCGTACGAACTAAAAGCACTGCAGCCGGGTGCACACGGGTCACGGCAATGGACCTATTGCACGCTCGTTCCCTTTAACCAACACCCATTCCACCCCTCACCGCACCACAACAATTGCACGTAAATGCCTAAGATTAGGCAGTACTTGCTGTAAATGACGCAATGAGGTCCATTTCACTTTGCCTTCTCAGCCACACATGATCATATTTACAAAAACTCTGATACTTTTTCCCGACTCTCCGCATCGGATTTGTGGCCAGTTCCGGATGCCTGCAGTGGCACACGACAGTGACTCGCCCGTTCACGATAAGGTTTCGGTACTGACAGTTGAGATTTTGCGGGAAGTAAGGTCGGTGCGCGTGTTGATCAGTTGGGGGCCGCGGCGTTCAGCGCCAGCGCTCTGCGGCCGGGTCGGTGAGGCGCTCTCGAAGTTGTCTGGCTATTTCATACATAGAGGAGGCCCGGGAGAGCAGCGCCGGCGGTGGAAGACGAGGGCAAGATGACTCCCGTTTGGCAGTCCGCCACCGCTGTCGGCCCCCGAAGGCCAGTGTTCCCAGTTCCCACCAGGTCGGCGGGAGCGTTCACACTGCACTCTGGAGGCCCGAGAGCTGGCCAACTCAGTACTCACTCGTCGTCTCGCTGCAGACCGGCACACAACCCCGAGAGGTCATCGCGGCCAACATGAAAACAACTCTTGAATTCGCCTTGGTTGTGATGGGCATTCTGACGGTGATTACGGACGGTGAGCATTTGCCAATTATTTTCACCGTTTTATCTTTGCACTTGTTTTAAGTTGCCGCTTAAAATTGACTTTTTAACGAACATGCTTTTTTCTGAAATAACTTGACTCAAAACTGACAACTTTTGTTTTCCCGGCATTGTGTTCCTCTTGTGTAGACGCTTTGAAGGAACTACATGTTGACCTTTAAAAAAGACATTTTGTGACTTGATTTGAAATTTGACAGGTCAAGGCTATGATTAGACGGAAAAGGACATGGCGCATATGAGTCGATCCGTATCGTCAAGCTCGACACAAATAAAGTTTTTTGATCGCTCTATCGTGTCTCTATAGAAGGTTATTATAAAAGGTTGGGTTAGGTTATTGAAATGGTTAGGTTAAGAAGGTTATTGTGTATTTGTGTGTCATGTTGAACTGTTACCAGTTGTTAGTGTTTAGTATGACTTCGTCCAATTTTCTCCCATTGACTAGTTTAATGAAGAAATCGCAAAATTGACATGACCCTGGCTCCCCCGTACAGGAAATCCGAGATACACATTTTATCCATACTGTACAGTAGGTCTATTAAAAAAGTCCCCAGCACCAGTGGGCGCTGCCTTCACTGAGCCGAACCCCCGTCTGCCTGTCCCATATCGCGCCGGGCTCAGGTCAGGTAGGGTCAGCGGGACCGCTCGGTCCGGCCCGCGGGCGGTGGACGGGCGGCCGGTAACGCTTTCCGCCAGCCAGCTGTAGAATCCAACAAACCGGACGGCCACCGCTCAGCGCAGCGAAACCGGTGTTTAAGAATGGCAGTAGATGTTCATGGCCACAATGATAATAGATAGTCATTGTTAGCCTGTGCCCCACAGGAATGCCTAGACTCTAACGCCCTGTTGGAGGGGAAATTGGGATTGAGCATCATTCTTATAACTCAGCTTTGGGCATTTAAGTGGCATTCGAAGTAGCGTCAAAAGTAGCAAAAAGAAGAAGAAAAATACTTCAGCCAATTTAAGATCGGGTCAGAACCAGAGGTCATGTCACCAGAGGTCATCGGTGGTAAAATTTTGCTTGGACAGGGTGCGTTGCGCGCACCGGTGCATTGGGTTTCCAATTTCCATGGAAACATCGACAGACTCGGAAGCTCGCAACGCTAGCGTGGAGCCGAATTCATATCAACCGCCGCAACAATGCAGCAGCGCAGCGCAGCGTGCTGCAGCGTGGGGCCGTGAAACACCGCCCAGGCCCCCTGTCTCCCCCTAATTCCTGTCATCCTTCCCACTCTGAAATCGACCGAGCCTAGCCTAACACAACAATCATCTCGTTTACCGCTATGTCTTAATAATATTGTCGGATTTAATTAAGGTGAACGGCTTAGCACGTAAATAACAGCAACTGCCACCATCGGTATTATGAGAAAACCAATTGCTTTTCCACAAACACAAGTTTTTAGCTTAAAACTTACTCGAAATTAATTTTACCAGCCTCGTGTTCCTCTTATCAAAACGCTTCGAATGAATCAAAATTTAATCTTTAAAGGTCATTTAAAAAATTTGGCATATGTTCAAAGACATGACCTGACCAGAAATGGCCATGATGCATAGCAGGATATTAGATCCATATCGTGGAACTTTACAAACACTTCAGATAATTTCATAACTTAAGCATGTCTATCAAAAATAATTATTACATGGCTCATATGTAGGCTGGGTGGTGATCATGCTTACGAGTATGTTGAACGCAACTGATAATTTTCTGTTGGCCACAATTTCTTTATTTAACTTATTGTCCAGGATTTCATATTTTTATTAATGACACTTTGACGATGTCGAGAAAAAAAAACGCTTAGGAGATTTAACAGCCTGAGATACATTCAGTATAAGGAAGGGTCAAGGGTGCTAGATTCCTTCCGTCCTCGCTATCCTCAGGAAAAAAAAAACAATCCGCATCGCCCCTAGTTTTCATGCTTCCCTCTCTGGACTGGAGGTCATCCCACCAGCCAGCCTGTAGTTGATGTCGGATCAATTCCAGGCAGAAATGTGCATGGATCCGAGTGATGGATCTATGATCTCAGCGGATCTCGAGGCAAATTGCAGGTTCGGATCTATGATCCCACAGAATCCGGCGTGAAAAAAGTATCCTGGATCTATGATCTCACTTATTCTCACAGGATCCATGCATTACATTTGGAACCAGGTTTCCAAGTGTTTCTATGTCAATAAGTGCCATAAAACTATGGATTATGACGTGTTATCACATTAAATCACTAAATAAGAACGTTTGTGAGTTGCAACAAGTGATCTTTGGGATTTCTGTGTTGACCAAAAATAAATTAGGATCTGTGATCCCACTGGATCTCAAGCAAAAATACTAGACTCAGATCTATGATCCCTACGGATCTCTCCATAAATTAAAGAGCTGGATCTATGATCCCCACGGATCCGAGATCAGGATCCGTGGGATCAGATTCCAGATCCATTTTCTCGGATCCATGCACATGTCTGATTCCAGGACAAATAATCCTCTTCGTGGTGACGGTTTGGGAGACGGCTGGACCGTCCCGACAGGGCAATCGTCCCACGGGAACAGTCTCGCTTCCGCAGATCACTGTCGCTGGCTCGCACAACCTAATTACTACACCAGAGCATAGTTATGTCATAGCTCTGCAAGGGCCTTTTCAGACCGAAAAAGATGGCTCCCAACAAAACAAACAATTTTCTCATTTAGTATTCTATCTCATCAAACACCACATGTTTTCAGAGTGTTTATTATGCGTTCCGTTAAAAAAAAGCGCAGTTCAATTTTCTCCCATTGACTTGAAGATCTCAAAATTGACCCGGCCTTTCTGTCAACAATGTCAAACTTGCAAAGTAAACGTTTCAAATACATAGGTATAGTGTTGCCCACTGAAATCGCTAAAAGTTCTAAGGCGATCGGTTAGTCGGTGTATTTAGATTGATGAGCACAGGAACTTTCCTTGAGGTAAGGTCACTTGACGTGACCTGGTGTTATGACCTTGAATTGAAAGACTTGGGCACACTATCCCGGCCAAATAGTGAGTGAGAAGGGAGCGATCCCCCAACCCCATGTTTAGCTCCTATAATTGAGCTAGCTGCTAGAGCCTCGCGGGAAAAAACGAGCGTTTGCTTCGTTACGTGACGCAGCGACTGGTACCCCATTTTAAAATATCAGTGACCTCTTAGGGCAGGTCAAGGGCCCCAAGGCATTCGATCGGTTTTTTTGGTAAATAACCACAAAAATTGTCGCATTATCGTCCTTTCGATACAATCGTGTTTTCTGTTCTCAGACGCGTCGATTTACATGCTTTTTTGTTTAGGTGAAACAATTTAGGATGTTTACCTGAGGTCAATGTCATGTTAGGGCAACACAGGTCACGTCACGAAGCTGTTGAAAGGAGGACACGTTGCATAACATTTGATTCGGCAAGTCTTGCAAAGTCCATTGATGGCTGTCCTGACTGGCTAGCTCATTTTGATCGGGAGTTATTGACGAAGCACTCCTATCACCCTAGTGACGTCATAAATGACGTCACGCAAGGTGAACAATGCAAAAGTGAAGCATTAGACCTTACCAAAAATGTATGAAGTCACGATTTGAAGTGCTTGAGAGTTGAGGTATAATTTTAGATCATTTCCGACGCCAAGATTAACAGTTTCCATATTTCCCCATTATGCTTATATGGCACTAAGTGCATTGCGGATTTGCATCATTTTATAACCGACAACCGTGCAGAGGTTTACTTAAGACGCCAAGCCGGTTAAGTGACCTGACCTGAAAACGTGGTTGATGTCAAATGATCCGGCTTGAATCAAATGCAAGGCATATGAAATGTCAGCCTTCTATCATCAGTGTGCTTTGAGCTACCGCAAAAAAATACATGGTGGCGGCATTCACCCCTTCTTCTCGGCCGGCGAGGGTTAAACCTCGCTTCGAATTATTGCAGATAATGATGCGACCGAAAACAAAGCATTTATCTGTGTCTTTAACGGCCGCTGACTTGCTGGACAAGATCCCCAGTCTTGATTTGCTAGATGGGAATAAAATACTCGGTATGTGATACATATATAGTATATACCCCTCAACTTGCCCTCGCGCTAAGTCTATTTTAATCATCACTGTCGCTTTTTTATCCGATATGATGTCGCCGCTAAACGGGTTGTTTTGTTTGCTTGCTTGCGTTGAATGGTCATTACGGATTATTGAATGATTGTGATGAAATAGGAATGGGGCGAGGGAGGATATGCACTGCGTCTGCAGGTGTTTAATTCAGATCACAAAGGCATCATTTCCGGCATAGTGCAGAGTCACTATCTTCCCCCTCCTCTGCACTGCGGCATCTCTGCGCCCCACACACGGCGTCCTCACTCCACGGCCGGCCGCCGCCAACTGACCCACTCGCCGGGCGCCGCGACCTGACCCGTGTCGCTGCCGCGGCCTGCGCAATAGAGTCGGGGCTGGCATCCGGGGGTTCGGCCGGCCGGCCGCCTCTGGAGCGGGGGACTTTTTTAGTAGACCTACTGTACTATTAGCGATCGCCGTGTAAGTTTCACAGCGATGGTTCGGTCGGTGTAAGCATGACAAGAATCGGCTTTTTCTGAGGTAAGGTCACTTAAAGTAACCTGGTGACCTGACCTTCACCGACCTGAGTGTAAAATGTTCACAATATGTGCAGAAAAGATGCACATGAACAGGTGTAGCGAAAACAAAAACCATTGAAGATAGCTGACTGGTCGGGTCAAGTCACGTTTCAACCAGCGGACAATCCTGTCGGCTATCCAATATCCATAGTAGTGTTGACCGACGCCCATTCAGCCATACGCGCGCTGCTGGGGGGGGGGGGGCAGATTCTTTCCCCTGTCGAGCTTCAGAATCGATAGTCGTAAAAAACGTCATTCGAAAGCTATCAAAAAGGTGGACTTTTGGAGCCAGCTTTTCGCATAAATAGGTCAGGGTAGGGTTAATAAGTGTAAGGAAGATAAGCACATCCTCGAAATTGACAGAACACTATTTTTTCAGGAGCTGCCGTCGGTCACAGCCAATTCATCGTTACGGGCGGAGGCCACCTCGACGGACCTTTCGGCGTTGTCGCTCGCAGAGGTACTCCCGATTCTCCACACTGTTTCGAGGACCGTTTTGTGCTGAAGAGGACAGGTTTTAGAATGCGCTCCAGTTATGTTGACAAGACTCTACTGGTATCTTCTGTGAGCGACTGTGAGCGGGCGTGCACGGACAGCCTGGACTTCATCTGCGAGGCCTTCTCCTTCTCCTACGGCCACAGGTGACTACAGCTACGGCGCACTGGCGTGTTACCAGAGACTTTCCCGGTCATTCCAACCAAATAAGTGTCGATAATGCAGATTTCCATATGACCACTTGATTTGTTGCTCACTTAGTTCTTTTTATTTTCCGGCATCTGGCAGGGGTGAAGTTTTATATACTTTTTGTTTGCATGTAAAACCCCCAACTTTGAAAAGTGCAAACTTAAAGTGACCGTCCCACCTTAACATTAGTTTTGTGTAGAAATAACCAAATTGGGGTCCCTGGCTTGCAATTACCTGTTTGGGCACTCATAACGCCGAAAAATGTCTGAAATCGAAACCATTTAATTTAAAAGTTGCAGCACCTTGGATGATTCAGAGGGGCTAATGCATTTGAATGCGCCCTCTGTATTTGTGACGTCGGTGCATTTAAATCAAATGCTAAAGCATTTGGTAAAACAATGGTGGTACGGTACGAGTATGCTGCTTTGCGCGCAACATCTCACATCTGCCGCACTTTGAAGATGCCAAATTATTGCTTCCAAACGACGTCTCAGGAACAGCGGAGGTCCCAAAAAGTAAACAAAAGTTTAAGTGTAATATGTTGAAAACCGGTGAATATTTTGCGGTGAAATTTGGTAACTAGATATTTATATTTAGTCTTTCTGAAACACGGTGCATCACTTTTATGTCTATTCATAAACTTTATTTTTTTAATGGAGGCTCCCTTCACCTAATGCAACCCCGATTTAACCCTTGCCCCTTTCGGCTGCTCCCAGGCCCTGCAGCCTGCTGGGGGGGGGGGGGGGGTAGAGCGTTTCTCCCGCGAAGATACAGCGAAGTTACCGACCGATTTTCAAATTCAAAACGGCGATTGATACTCCCACCGAGAAACTATCATGTGACCTATGTTGAGTATCCATGACAGGTTGGATGATGATGTAAATAATAAACCAAATTATTACAAATGCATTCAAATATATTCAAAAAGACACACAAAGCTTTCGGTTCATGGAACCTTGATCACTGTGCAAATGAGTATGTGCATACTGGGTGATCACGGTGCATACTCATTTGCACAGTCACTGTGCAAATGAGTATGTGCATACTGGGTGATCACGGTGCATACTCATTTGCACAGTGATCAAGGTTCCATGAACCGAAAGCTTTGTGTGTCTTTTTGAATATATTTGAATGCATTTGTAATAATTTGGTTTATTATTTACATCATCATCCAACCTATCATGTGACCAAAATTCATCGATCTAGGTGCTTGGTGCAACCGATTACGTCACAGGTCAGATTAAAGGTCGCATTTTGGACGGTTTACAAGCCTTCTAAAGTTCTAAGAAATGCATTATAACAATTAACATCGAGTAAAAGGCATGCTATCGGAAATCACCGATAGAGAATTACCTGTCTGACACATATTTTTCTGTAAATGTTCACTGATACCAGGTCAGGTCACAGAGGCCAGTAGCTACTAGTAGAAAGGTCGTACAATGGACAGATGGCAGCCTGCTGAGAACTACCCTCTCTCCGACAGTGCCTCGCGCCTGGCGTCCAGCAGCGCGTCTGCCGACAACTGCGAGCTCTCGGGCGGCCACCCGCGCCGCCCCGACTCGCCTGATGTCTACAAACTCGATCGGGACTACGACTACTACGAGCGTGTGCGCGTCGAGGACTGCATGTAGCTGTGCAGCTGCTCCTCAACCTGCTCCTGTCGGACGGCGGCGACGAGGGCGGATTGGACCGCAGAGGCGACGTATTTGGATCTGGTGATCATCCCGAAGGAAATTTTTTAAGCAGATGATCCTCGCGTTCACCTGCGCGTCTAACCGTGAAGTTTCACCTTTAACCTGGTGGTGACCCAACAGTAGGTCAGCAGTCCCAGTGGTAACCCAGAAGTAACATCGGTCTTACCCAGTGGTTGCACAGAGATTTCACGACTAGCCTAATTGCAGTGAAGCGAATGATCGCTCACCTATGCATCGACCTTTTGTATCGACTGTGATTTTATGTTTTATCTTGAATATACTGACGAGTTAACCCGGCAGTTGCTGGGGTATTCCGCCACCCGCCGTTTGCTGGGGGGGGGGGGGGCGTTAACCCGCGCCCTGCTGGGGGGGGGATGTTTGAACTAGAGTTCTGCACGGCTGCAATTTTCCACAGCCTAGCCGCCCCGCAGCCGTGGCTCCATAGCCACAGCCGCCCACAGCCGTGGCAAACTGTGGGCAGCCAGCCGTCAGCCGGCCGTGGATACTTTCAATGAAATGCAACCAAATAATATATAATAAGTTGTTTTTAACCCTCGCCCGCAAATGGGGGGTGGTTGCCACCCCCCCCCCCCCCAGGTAGTCTTTCTGCTCTGCACTCAACATTTTTAGAGCTAGAAGGCTGATTTTTCGTATAGCTGCTCCTCTATCCTTTCTTGATGTCCACTGAAAATTTCAAGCTTCTGTGATTTTTGGTTTCGGAGATATGACCTTGTTTTTCAGGTCATGTCATGACCCAAATGGCCAATTCTCAACATCTTGCGTTTGCCATGGGCCTTATGAGCTTTTGAAACCCTGATTTCGGCCTTTTTTGCCAGTCTTACCTCCCACCTATCATGGAACATGTTGTTCGACGATGTACAGGGGTCAAGGTCAGGGTCAAGGTCAACCTAGGTCATCTAAGATAATTGCGTTTTAGGCTAGCTGAATTTACTTTTTTTGAAGTTTTTTTACTGCATTTTTGGTAAAAGCTTCTCAGATCATGATTTCATGTAATATGGACCCAAAAACAATCGGTGCACACATCAGTATACACACATACACACACAGACATACAAACACATATAATTGACCTTGACCTAACTTGACCTGAAATGACCTAAGCAGCAAAGTTCTGGTCGGGTAGTGTGACAAAGAGGTTCTAGCTGGCTTGGCACCAGAAAACAGCATCGTCATCGGTATTTGATAAGCAGCACACTTGGTATCCAACGGTGACCCAAAACAGCAACATTTTTTAGTGTGACCTGACCTGGAAGGTCAATGACTGACCTGAGAAGGTAAAACTGGGTATCATTGGATTCGTCTCTTCCCAAAGAATCTTTTTGGTCTTTACTGCTAACCTCTATCTCCAACAGGAACGAAATGGCGCGGGGGGGGGTGGCAACCACCATGTGCGTTCTAGGATGGGAAAATGGCATGTGCGGGCGAGGGTTAATGAAAACATATAGCCAAAAGCACAAGCCCTTGCAAGGGGTTAAGAAAGATGGGTAGGTAGGTACCTACATCAACAGAAAACATAAACAACGAACCAGAATAGAAGCACTAGCAGTGTAGACATCTAATGCCAAATCCTGAAGCATGGTTGTGGGACAGAACAACAGACCCTGAACGGTCGTCAAGTTAGATGTAAGTGAATCCTAATCTATAATCTAAGATTCGGAATCAGGTGAGCCCTTACGATTTGGACCAAACCTGGTCAGTGGATAGTACGTAACGTCCTGAGTACGATGCACCCAAAATCTTAACTCGGCCCGCCATATTTAAGAAAGTTACGGATGTTTGAATTTCAAGGTCATTCGTGAGAGCCCCTACGATTTCCGTCAAAATTTGTATGCGGACAGATTACATGCTCCTCATTACAAATATCATAAAAGCTAAGCTCGGCCCGCACTATTTTAAAAGTTATTGAGGTTTGAATTTCGTTGAGTTTCAAACCTCATTAACTTTTGAAATAGTGCGGGCCGAGCTTAGCTTTTACGATATTCGTAATGAGGAGCATGTAATGTGTCCGCATACAAATTTTGACGAAAATCGGAGGGGCTCTCCGAATGACCTTGAGGGCGGGCCGAGATTAATTTTTATTATATTTGTAATGAGGAGGATGTAATATGTCCGTATACCAATTTTGACTGAAATCGCAGGGGCTCACCCAAATGACCTTGAAATTCAAGCCTCCGTAACTTCGTAAATATGGCGGGCCGAGCTTAAATTTTGTGATATTCGTAATGAGGAACATCTAGAGTGTCCGTACACAAACTTGGACGGAAATTGTAGGGGCTCTCCCGAATGACCTTGAAATTCAAACATCCGTCACTTCGTAAATATGGCGGGCCGAGCTTAGATTTTGGGTGCATCGTAATCAGGACGTTACGTACTATCCACTGACCAGGTTTGGTCCAAATCGTAGGGGCTCACCTGATTCCGAATCTTAGATTATAGATTAGGATTGAAAAGGGAATCTCTTGGTAACCTTAAGAGCAGTATAAAACTCACAAGCAAGTAAGTTACTGAGTTTGTCATAAACTATTATATCGTAAATGTTCGTTCATTCCAAACCGGTTTCGTTTCATACAAGAAACATCATCAGTGGTACACTTCACAAGTGTCAGTGGTAACGGACAAACAGCACAATAATAAATACACACATATAGGGTGTTCACTAAAAAATGGGACAATATTCTGTGCGCTGTCAGTTGAAAGTGCGTCTGGATAGATTACTGCATTTTAGTGCACGTGGGAAATACAACATTTTTTACACATGACCGCGCTTGAATTCATTTTTGATCAGCCCCCAGACAAAATGGACGGGTTAACAGGCAGACAGCGAAGGGAGCTCATTGGCACCTTTTATAAAGAGCACTGGTCCAAAGGGAAGTCATTTACTTACAAACACTTCCAAAAGATGGGAATTTCGAAAACAACACTGTATCGCGTCATGGAAAAGCTTGATACAGGGGACTCCCTTAGCAGGAAGCCGGGAAGTGGTCGGAAGGCGAAAAAAATGACCCCAAAAGAGATCTTAAACCTACAAAGGTACATGAAGGAACATATCGGCGCCTCACAGCGAAAGGCTGCACGGAAGTTTGGTGTAAGCCTCAGCTACATCAGCAAAGTACTCAGCACTAAGACGAAGTTACGCTACAGACGCCGAAAGCGTGTTCCGGCGGCCACAGAGGACCAAAAAATAAAGCAGAAGACCAGGTGTGGCAAGCTTCGAAGGAGCGCTATGAAGCCCACCAACAAAACTCAAATTATCATGGACGATGAGTCATATTTCCCTATGAAAGGTCACAGTCAGCCGGGAAATGTTGGATTTTATACAGATGATGCATCTGGAGCCGGGGATGGTGTGCGGTTCGCCACAGTGGAGAAGTTCACGCCAAAAGTCATGGTTTGGGTGGCCTTTTCTGAACACGGGCTGAGCAAGCCCTTCATCATGGAGAGTGGTGCAATGAACGCCTACATCTACCGCACCCAGTGCCTACCGAGGCTCAAGGAGTTTGTAGATGCCAACTACCGTGGTAAAAAGGTTATTTTCTGGCCAGATCTCGCTCCGGCGCACTACCAGAAGGACGTCCTTGCCACCCTCGAAGAGCTGAAAATACCTGTTGTGGCTAAGGAGGATAACCCACCAGCGGCACCACAGATCCGCCCCATCGAACGACTTTGGGCTCTCCTGAAGTCACGTGTGTACGCTGGTGGTTATGAAGCAGAGACCAAGAAGCAGCTGACCAAGCGAATCCGCCGCCAAATGGCTGCCATTACGGCAGACACGTGCCAAAAGCTATGGAGGCGCACGCGGACAAAGATCCGCTTTGTGGCAGACAAGGGGAACACAGGCCTTCGAGAGCTGTAGAGTTCGAAAGAGGAGAAGAAGGATAATGTAGTGGTGCTGAACTTGTTTCACTGGCGTGATTTTTTCACGAAATACACACGAAACAAATTTGTCCCATTTTTTAGTGAACACCCGGTATACAGTTGGTGCACACGCTAAACATACATGTGGTCCTACAGGGCCACATGTATGGGGGGCCACGAAACAGGGCCACGAAACTGGTACTTACCTGGTTTACTTACCTGGTTGGGTTCCCTTCGCTTGGTAGTCTTAGGAAAAAGGGCTGGTAAGGAAGGATAGGAACCCTGTCTCACAAGACACGCCAGTTCAAAACATGCTATACAGTTGTTCCAGTTTGGCAACGTAGGTCACAAGAATGAGAACTGGAAATGTGTGTCTGCAGTATGACAGGCAACAGATACATTTCATGTTAGCGATAATACATACAGAGAATACCAATATAACGAGCGATTTTACAAATATTCTACGAGTTTGTCTGGGATATGCTGCTCTAGACCCCTCTTGAAGGACTGGATGTCCGGGGCAGTAACAACAGATTCAGTACACTACATGTGCATCCGCTCTGGTGTAGTGTACCAGTTTCGTTGTTCCTCGTGCGAGGAATCGTACATAGGTTCCACCTATGTACGCTTGTACACCAGGGTATGTGAACATAAGGGCATTTCTGACCGCACTGGTAATATTCTAACAACTCCAAAACAATCGTCCATTCGCGATCACAGTCACACATGTGACACCCCTGTCTCCTTCAACGATTTCACCATTTTAGGCAGCGAGCCATCACATTCTCTCAGGATCTTGGAATCACTTTTCATCCATCTACTGAAGCCAAGGCTTAATGGCACAACATCGGCATATCCCCTGTCTGTTGTCAGGTAACCTTGCTTACAATGTGTAGCTCTTCATGTTATTGACCTTTTATCGATCGCGCCCTGTAGGACCACGTGTATGTTTAGCGTGTGCACCAACTGTATATGTGTGTATTTATTATTGTGCTGTTTGTCCGTTACCACTGACTTGCCACTGACACTTGTGAAGTGTACCACTGATGATGTTTCTTGTATGAAACGAAACCGGTTTGGAATGAACGAACATTTACGATATAATAGATTAGGATTCACTTACATCTAACTTGACGACCCGTAGACTCTGATGCTTTTCATTATCAATGTTATGGAAAATGAAACTGAAGTTGATGGACTGTCAAACAGTGATTGCCTTAGTCAAAACTCTTGCTTCTTTCTTACCTTGCATATTTTCTGGGGTGTGATATGCCAGGTTTGAAGCAGCCTTCTGAGCAAGTCTCAAACTAATTTGATATGCAAGGCATCAAAACACTAGTGACTTCAGCATCCAAGAAAGAAAAACATTCATCTATTTTGATTTTTCCAATTTTGATTTGATTTTCATTTTTCATCAATTTATTATTATTATTTTATTATTTC